GCTATCAGAGAGAGAGTTTTTAATAAGATGAATTCGCTTACCTCCAACGTCCCTCTTTCCCCATATTTCTAGGCTGGCCATGCAGCCTCAAGATTGTGCACGCACTACCTCTGCTGTCCTTCCCTGGACAGGTGGCAGTGCTCGCCTCTCACCACCTTACGCGTGTAAAGGCTTAGTCCTCCCTCTAGTACACACAGAACTACCCAACGGTGTTGAGGTGTGCACGGAGCGGACGTCCTCTCCTTCACGCCATTGGCCCAGGTGGCATACTTAACCGGAGTACCACGACCGGCCTGTCACTTGTGGAGAGTCGCTATTACATGCTCATAACCGAGCTATGTGTCGCCGACCTATAACTTGGAATCAGGCGAAAGCCTGCCCACCTCGGCCGAACTATCATTGGTCGGTTCATCATGACCATCCGGTTGCGAGGCATGCCGGCCCCCAACCGGTCTACCTTCAATCTTGGTCACATGAAGCCACTTTATATCAACTGACCGATCCAAGGTGCACCGGCCTTGATCGCGCCCACGGACTAGCTCGGGCTACCTTTTAGCCCGGTCAGCATCCGCTAACCCAAGCTCCGTCCAACACGTTCAAGACGCAGCTCAGCTATGCCAGTTGGTGCCTGACCGGTCAATATTTCCGACCGTGCAAGGCAGGCCGCTGGCCATGTCAACAGAGATTACCTCGGCGCTACGCGGTCCGTCACGTCTGACGTTATCTCAGCTCGGCCGTACAGTCAGGTGCAAATCTCCCCTCTCAAGATTCGATCCAGACCGTTTGTCATGTATTCTATATATTTGTGACTTAAAATAATTAGTTTGGGAAGTTTTATGATTTCAGCATCTCCTATAAAGTCTTATGTCTTTAGTTTTTGATTGGTAAGGTGGTGTGAAAATATTTGCTTATTTTGCTATACTTTGGCCAAAATTTCAATTTGTTTGCTCAATAGGTCACTATTCTCCAGTTTTTTGGTAGGAAAGTCTATAATTCAGAATACTTTTAACAAATCTTTTATGTACATGTTGAGATTATGTGAAATTGTAATTCTAAACCGATTCGAATTGTGTTTAAATGGTTTGGTTCGGATTGATTTCATGATTTAAATAGATTAGTTTTGTTCTAATTTTTATGAAATTGTAGATAATGGATTAGTCTTAATATCAAATCAATCCAGACCATACTCAACCGTAATATTTTGGGGACTAAAAGTATATTTTTAATTGAATTTTTACATTTACCTTGACTTTAACGACATTTATAGATGGAGCTAGGTTGATGAACTAAATCAAAACATTTTTTTTTATACATTGTGGACTAGATTGACACAATAAATACTGAGCACCAAAATGACACAAATTGTATACTATGGTGACTACAAAAGGTAATTGACTCTTTTGTTTTTCAGAATGGGTTAAGTTTATCTCAAGTTCAAACTATTGAATCCCAATTTTTTCGTAATGATCTACACGGCGGGCCTTATAAAATAAACAATGGGACTCATGGGTGGCCCTTGGGCTCTAAATAGCTCTCTTAAGTCCAACCCTTTAGAATTTTTAACAACTAATGTATTTGTTAATTACTATTTTATTTTATTTATTTATTTTTTGTATAACAAAAGTTTTTTAGGTTTTTCAAACTTTTTCTTTTGGGTGAAAAATTAGCGTAGTCTACAATAAATATATATTTTTTGATAGAAATATAAGGCTTAAGATATTGCACGTACCACAATAAGTCATTTAATAAAATATATTGGAATACAAAATAGATCATACAAGAGATAAAAAGAACCTTCATGCAGGAATGATACAAGTCTTCACATAGGGAGAAAAAATTAACCTCCACGAAGGGAGGAGAAAACCTCAATGAGAGGAGGGGGAAAAAAACAGACACAAAAAAAATACCAATCATCCTTATGATTCGTTCATCGTAGCAATCAGTAACTTTGATACTTATGTTACAAAATAAAACATTTTAAATCTGAAGTGGTTGCCCAGCGTATAACAACTCGTTTAATAGTATTAGATCTCGATTATGAGTTAAATCTGAGCCAAGATCTGAAATCTTCCTTGGCGACAAGCTGATAATAGAGGCAAGAGGAGCGATAGTGACTAATATGATGATAGAAACTACATTAGAAAAAACAGAAAAAAGATAAAGGTTTAAAGCACCACCCTTTTTTTTTTCTTCTAAAAAGTAGAGAAAATGAGAATATTATTAAGTTTCTTAGAGAGAATACGATTTCTTGTACTCTACAATTAATTTAGAAGTAATCTTTTAAGAGTTTCAAGATTTTTTTCTAAATTTGAAATGGGCACTTGATTGAGACGATCACCTGTTCTTTTCTATGCCTCATTCTCTATCCTCTTAATATTTTATTGGATCATTATAAAGAGAATATGAATCTAATATTTCATTATACAACATATCTTCAACACAGGTATATTTATATACAACAAACTAATTGTAACTCTAGTTACTAGTTAACTAAGGTACAGTTAACTAAGGTATAGTTAACATAACAACTTTCTAACTAACTCACATAGTGCATACTTGCAAAAGTGATTTTATGAATTAATTTCAAAGAGGGAGAAGACGGTATAAAATCAAAGGGTGATGGTCTAATGGAGAAGGCATTCCTCTATACAGGTGTGACTCAAGTTTGAATCTTAAGTGAGGCGAATTTGCTGCTTTGCAGTTGGTTCTCTATGGAGACCTCGCCTTATACTCTGATTGAAATTTGGTTTCGTTTGTGGCGTGTGGTTGAGTTTTATTAGTACCTCGATGGTGGATTATTTTCTATGGGTTGGATCAAATCAAGCTGGTAATCGGTTATTCTGAGACCTGAACCTATAGATGTAGTGATTACATCTCAAAACATCATTTTTCTAATTTTTTTTTTTTTAAAAAGAAAAAGGACGGTCTAGAAGGAGATAGATAGATGATATGAATTCCTATATTTGGAGGGCTATGGAATCAACTAAAAATTGGCCTAAAGTCTTAGATAAAGATGTCATTGAAAATATTCAGTGTATTTAGTTTCAATTTTTTGAATTCAGTTTTTTAAAAAATGAATTTTTTGTTTTGTGTTTTTTTTTGTTTTTGATGAATATTTTTTAAATTTTAAATAATTTTGTTCTTTTTTTAGATGTACTTTACTTAGATGTATCTAAATAGTAAAATATTTGTGAAAAATATTTTAAAAAATTAATAAATATACAAAAATACGAAAATGTACTGAGTTTTTATATTTTTTGGTATTTAGTGTATTTTTTAAAGATTTTTTTCACAAATATTATATTTTTTAAGTGTGTTTATGTTAGATGTGTTTAAAAATTTTAAAAAATTACTTAAAATATTAAAAAAATTCATTGAAAATATTAAAATATAAAAAAAAAAAATCTGAAAGCTATTTTTTGAAAACTGAATGCAAACAAGCCCAACTGACATTCGTACCTTCTCTCTTTTGTCCCTCACTAAACATGATCACTGGTTACATATAATCCAAACGGCTATGCTCCCAAACCCCACACACCCACAACATTTGTGAGAGAGGGAGAGAGGAAAATAAAAAAATAAAACGTAAAATGAATGATTATAAGTCAATTGAGGGTTAGGGAGGTTATAAAAATGGGGATTTCAAGTGTTTTTTTAATCCAAATTGTCCAATTGCCCTTCCTTCTTTGTTCTGTGGGATAGGCTCTCATCTATGCTTATATCTTTTTATATTTTTGTATATTCTTCTTATATCTCACAATTTGGACTTGTACCGATAATCTGAACCGTCATCTCGTAAGTTTCATAATAAAAATTATTTATGCAAAAAACCAACTTCATCAGAAAATTATAAATATAGGGATCACTACAACAAATCGAGTCTATTGTGACGAAATGGATGGTTATATTTACAATCACATTTGTCATTTATTTTATAAAACAAAATGTACTTTTTTTTTTAAAATTTATAATTTTTCAATGGAAGTCATTTTTTTATATAAATGACTTATATTATGAAATTTACGAGATAGACGTTTTGGATCATCGGTGTAAGTCCAAATTGAGGCCTACAAAAGGGATATAGAGAGGTATGGAGAGATGAAGATATGGAAATGAGCTTATCCCCTTTTCCATATCTCATTAAAATTAGAATAATATTAATAATATATCAATAAAAAATAAAAACAAAAACATATTATTTACAAAATTTTCTTCCAAGTTAATATGGCATGTAACAATAAAATCGCAGTATATGAAATCAGACTCAATAAATTAAAATAATATGTGGCATGCCAGTTTATATATATATATATAAAAATTTCAATAGCCTCTATTAAAATATGATAAATTTGTATTTATTTATTTTAAAATTAAAATAATTTTTTATAAATGCAATTACACTTGTTTGGTTGAGTTTTTAAAAAGTATTTTTTATTTATTAATTTTCAAAAAAAATAAAATTTAATCTTGTAACAATATTAACACATGAAAAACACTCATCATTTTCATATGATTTTTTCATAGTAAAAGTAATTTTTGAAAATTAAAGATACCTTTTTAATGTAAAATTTTGTCAAATTAATATTTAAAACTTTAAAAACTCATTGAAAGAGAAATGTATGTATTCTTTTGAGATAATTTTATAAATATGGTTTTGTTTGTAAGTAACTTTTTTTAAAAATAAATAAGAGCTAATTATATGAAGACATTTTAAACTATTAACGAATATCATTTTACTTCCTCATCTATGAAGTCATATGTATTGACCTCCTCAACTTTAAAAATCGTAGAAATATATAATTTTTAGAAAGAGATTGAAAAGGTGAAATGATACGTTTTTATAATTGAAAGGATGAAAATATACAAATTCAAAATATATAATTTTTAGAAAGAGATTGAAAAGGTGAAATGATACGTTTTTATAATTGAAAGGATGAAAATATACAAATTCATACATAAAAAACGTAAAATATGATACCAGCCAGTCTTTCCTTCATAAGAGAATAGAGATCTACCTGCATGCATATCCATATTAGACACATCACCACCATTTTTGACACACTCCAACTCATCACCTCTTTCACTCTCTCACATGTCTGCATATAGAATTTTCCCTATATAAGAGGGCATCTACATTTCTTCTACATTCAGCCCCCTCCTTACCAAACCTAACCCAACAAAAAATGGACACCCACACTACCCCTCATGATGTCGAACATGCAACTCCCTACACTCTCCTGCCGGACCACCACGACTCGTCTGTGTCTCCGCCACATCACTGCCGACCCATTAAGGGTTTCATTGGAATCTTCCTCGCCGTGCTGTTTCTGTTATCTTTGATTGTTTTGATTCTGAACCAAGAACCACCAAGCTCAGCAAGCAAAATCAATGACATTGACGACCAAGACCAAGAAAAGTCGCCGGAGATCACAATGCCGCAACCGAGAGGGGTGTCGGAGGGGGTGTCCGAGAAGAGTTTCCGGGCATTCTCCGGCAGCCGTCCGGAGTATCCTTGGACCAATGCTATGTTGGCTTGGCAAAGAACAGCTTACCATTTTCAACCTCAACGAAATTGGATGAACGGTAGGTGCAAGAAAGAAATAAAAATAAAATAAAATAAAATTTGTTACTTTTTTTTTTTTGAGCAATCTTATTCAAACAAAAAAAATTAGACTCACTTTTCAAACCCAATAATCAACTAATTAATCACTCTCTTGTGCTATTTCTCTTTCTTTGGTGTATTATTATTTAATTAGTAACCAATTATTTTATTTACATATTATTAAATCTAAAAAATTGAGTCTAAAAAGTTACTTGTATATCATTTTTTTTAAAAAAAATTTATTAAGAAAATTACGACGGTAACTGATATATCAATTTGTTCATTATAACTAATTCTAATTGCATTAATTTGAACTTTTGTGTTAATTTAGTCAAATCATTACAATTATAAAGATTTTAGGGATCAAATTTTTTTTTGTTCTCAAAAGTGAAAATGTTGTAAAAAAACAAAAAACTTTTAGTGAAAAAAAAATTGAAAATGTCGCTAATAAAAAAAAATTAGTGCAAAAAAAGTTTGACTTTTTGAAACAAAAATTTTGGGTAATATATCACTAAATATCTAATTTTATTGTTAAAAATGCAATAACTACATTTTTGACAATTAAAATATTTTGTCTTTAAAAAGTGATTTTATCTTTAAATTTTTATTTTTAAAACTTTAATTTGTTATAGTGAATTGATAACACTCCATTAGAAATTAGATTGAAATTGACAAGCGTGATAGTTTAAAAATGATCAAAAGTTGTTGTCCAATTTAAAATGTTGAATTTCTTTTTGAATGAATTATTTTTCTCTTGATTTATATCCAAATTTCTTGATAGATATTATTATGGTGGTGCTACACGCAACAATTGGTATACCAATTAGTGTATAAATATATGCTATGGTATTGTCACTTCAAAACTATAACCTCACCTATTATACAAACTACAAAGATTCAAAATTTCTAAAATTAATTCACATCATCTATTAATACACTAATTGATATACCAATTGATACATACAACATTATTCATATTATTAACACGATTAAATTGTCATAATATGAAAAATTAAGAGGTGAAATTTAAATACTAGAATTACGAAGAGACCAAATTTAATGCATAAAAAACTTAAGAAAATCACCGTATTTTTTAATGCTTTTTTATATTTTATACTAAGCTCTCATTTCATTTGTGTTTCATGACATGTAATGAGTATTTATTTATTTTTATACTAATTCAAATCTATTTGTTATCTTTCATGGCTGCTTTTTGGGGGGATTTCAATAATTTCTACTGCAGATCCTGATGGTACGTCTTTCCATTTGCTCTTTGATTACTTTGTGTTTCTTTAATTAATGGGTAATCACTTATTAGCCAATCAATCTTTTGTCTAAAATTCCATAACGAAGTCATCAACTACAAATACAATTAGGTACAAAGTTTTATATAATTTTTATACAACAATTCTATAGACAACAATTATAAATACGAGACCAAATATGATTGGTAATGGAAGAACAACAATTATCAATCCAAAACAACAATTATAAATGTAAAATTTTTAATTCTTGGCTTTTCTTTGTTCGGTATCATAGATTTATTACATTTTGATCCTCTTTTTTTTTTTTTGGGTAAAATTTTGAAAATATTACTCACTCCGTTATGTATTTTGAATGACAATAACATAGAAAAAAAGTCAAAATAATTTTATTTTATTTTTTCTACTGAATTACATTACATAGTTGTAACAATTAATATAGATCTGTCAAGTGACCGTTGAGTGTACTCAACAACATTTTTGGTTGGTCACAATCTGCGTAGGTTTGTATAGATTGATAACTTGCATGCATGTGATTGCGTTTAAATCTCCCTCTCTCTACCAGTCACCGCAACTGCACAACAGTCTGTTTGACCGTCCGCTAACCACCCTTTACCTACCAAAAACTACCAAATTTCAATGGTGCATTCACGCGACTATTCTCTTCAACTCAACCGCCCTTTTATAGTAAGTATAGAGTCAAACACAAATATTTTAGGAGGAATCCAGTCCAAAATCTCAGCCAATTGATTCATTATGGGTCTTATTTTGATAATTTAAATTATTTATTTTATTAAGTATTTTTTTATTTTCATTTAAAAAAAAGTTAGATTAATTTAATAATTGTAACTTGTTCAATTTATTATTTTTGTTATTAAAAAAATATATGGTTTATTTTTTAAAAATACAATTATCGTCTATTATTTTAATAAAAAACACGGTAAATTAAATAAATTATAATTATCAGATTGACCTAATTTTTTTTGTGAATGAAATACACAAAATTTCTAGTGAAATAAACTATTTGGATCACCAAAATGGGGCCCATGGTAGGCCTCGTTGGCCGAAACAACCCCCTTCCAGTCCAGATTTTGGACGGGAGGAAATCCTCCTCCAATATTTTATAATGAGTGGAGTCCACATGATATGAAATTCACATGTGAAATTTAAGTGATTGTTGGATATTTTGGGAGCACGACCTGGTGCTCTTTAGTATTATGATTAGTAGATAATGTGGGGGGTAGGAATATGAGAGGCATGGTAAATGATGATTGATGAAGGAACATGTACACATGGTACTCCGGAAGTACCTAATAATTTTCTATGAAATCCACCTTTTTCAAGGTTATGTGTCACACTAAATTTATGTGTTTTTAGTATTGCTAATAGGAGTGGACATCAGTCCATTGACTCGCCTGGCCTGCTCAGTCCAGCCCTATTTTTCTAGAGCTTAGGAAGATTGTTTTAGCCTCTAGGGTTGATCTAAGCCAATATTTTCAACCCGAAATATTAAAGGGTTGGGTTTGGAATTTATACTTTCAACCCAATCTGGTCTGGCTCGGCCGACTATTAAATAAATTAATTAATTATTTATTTATAATACATTAATGTATATATTTTTTGTTAGGATCTAAATTTTATCTTTATTAATTTTATTAAAACTAGCGGGGAAAGCTAGCCACTTGGTGAAGTTACTCTCTAACTAACCACTTGTCCATTAATACCCGGCTCAAATTTTAACAAAACTAGCCACTTGGTTAAGGTACTCTCTAACTAATCACTTGTCCATTAACAGTAACTTGCTCCTCTCAAAATAAAATTTTCTTTTGGATACATCAAATGTATATCTTGTGAATGAGAAATTTCAGTTATGGCAATATTTGAATTCTTAATTTTTTAATATGTAAAATTCTGACCCATTAAATTAGTTGTAATTGATTAAAAGTCAAATATATACTTATATACATCTACATATGTGTGTGATGTGTTATTTTCTAGCTTAGAGTGAGAGAGCTTGACATGAACTACAGTTATGCTATACCCACAAAAAAGAATTTCATAAAATGCAATCCAAATGTAATATATAGTGTTTGCATTTTTTTTTTTTGGATAAGCTTTATTTTTTCCTACAAATCCGAGCAACGTAGGGTTAAATCTCAGTGGATCGTGACAGCAAGGTCACTCTGCCACTTACAATACCACTCGGCCACTCTGCCATTTTATTGTACTTTTTCTGCATTATGTGTCCAATATTTTCTATGGCGCCGTATTCTTTTTCCATGTACTAAGGACAATTTGCATGTTTGTAGGTCCATTATACCACATGGGATGGTACCACCTATTCTACCAATACAACCCGCATTCAGCGGTCTGGGGTAACATCACATGGGGCCATACGGTATCAAGGGATCTGATCCATTGGCTTTACCTTCCCATCGCCATGAAGCCCGATAGCTGGTTTGATTGGTACGGTGTTTGGACCGGGTCCGCCACACTCTTACCCGATGGCCAAATCATGATGCTTTACACTGGGTACACCGATAATTATGTGCAGGTGCAAAACCTTGCATACCCCGCCAACTTATCTGATCCCCTCCTCTTAGATTGGGTCAAGTATGCGGGTAACCCGGTCATGGTCCCCCCAACCGGCATTGCTCCTGAAGATTTTAGGGACCCCACCACGGCGTGGCACGCTCGGGATGACAAATGGCGGGTTACTATTGGTTCAAAGATTAATACAATCGGTTTTAACCTCGTTTACCAAACCACTAACTTCACTACCTACGAGCTTTTAGACGGGGTTATGCATGCGGTTCCGGGTACGGGTATGTGGGAGTGTGTGGACTTCTACCCGGTTTCAACAACCGAAATGAATGGGTTGGACACGTCATTTAGTGGGCCGGGTATTAAGCATGTGCTGAAGGCAAGCTTGGATGATGAGAAAAAGGATTTTTATGCACTTGGGACATATGATCCAAGTAATGACACATGGACACCCGACAACCCCGAACTGGATGTGGGTATTGGGTTACGGGTCGATTATGGAAAGTATTATGCATCAAAGACATTTTATGACCAACACAAGCAAAGGAGGGTGTTGTACGGATGGATTGGAGAAACTGATAGTGAAATTGATGACATCAGAAAGAATTGGGCATGTGTTCAGGTATCACTCATGACCTATTATCCTTAAAAAAAAACATCTCATTTGATTTCATAAGCAAATTTCTTACAAATTAGTACAAAACAAAAGTAAATACTATTTAAGAGTTCTTTGACGTTCATGCTAAAGCTCATGAACGGAGCATATGTATATAAGATTGATTAATTTGATGTTGTGTTCAACAGAGCATTCCAAGGACTGTAGTGTTTGACCAGAAGACTGGAAGCAATATACTCCAATGGCCTGTAGAGGAAGTGGAGACATTGAGATTGAACAGTACTGAGTTCCATGGGGTCGAGCTTGAACCCGGTTCGGTCGTGCCACTCAACATAAGCTCGGCTACACAGGTCCGTGTTACACATATTTTGAGAATCGCTATATATCGCCAGTTCAGTAAAATAGCAAATGGGTTCTACACAAATTTTCTACAGATAAGGGCCGCGTAACATAAATTTTTCCTCAGTGGCACAGAAGTCTATCTACTTTATGAAACTAGTTGGTCCTATATAAAAAATATTAGAAATCTCAAAAATTTTATTAAAAGTTCTATTAAATATCTCACATGGATTTGGGTTTCAATACACCTAAACCCGTGTGAGACATTTAATAAAAATTTTGATAGAATTTTTAAAATATCTAATAATACTCGGTCCTATGTATACACGGAACTTTTATTGCATCAATACACATAAGTAAAATAAAGATGTGCTAAATAACAACTTTCATATTTTTTAGGGGTAAACTATTAATTAGCTCCTCCAACTTTTGTATAGTTTTCAATGTAACTCTCAATTTTTTACTTCTTCTATTTAGGGCTTTCAACTTTTCTCTAAATTTAATGTGACCCTTAAAATTTTAATTTTCTTTTTAACCCCCTCAAAATTTAATAATTAAGTCAATATGGTCTTGTCCATTAAAGAAAAACTACAGTGTACTTCCTAATTTATATAGTTTTAAGATTAAACTATAGAAATGGCAACTTAAATGTGAGGAGAAAAAAATGTAAGGGGAAAAGTACTCAGTTCAAGTGAAATTATTTACCTTTTTTTAGAACAAAACAATAATTTTTCCTAATTGAGTAAATAAATTTTCATGAAACTGTTTGCAATTTTTTCCCTCCATATTTGGTTCTCACTTATTAATAATTCTCTTAATGAAAATCCTAAAATTATGAAGCATGTAACATAAAATGATATTTTTTCCATACTTTAAAATTGGTTGGATCACATTGACTTATATATGAAAGTTGGAGTTAAAAAAAGATAAAGAAAGTCAGAGGACTTATATATGAAGTAATTAAGAGTTTGAGATTTATACTAGAAAGTTTGAAAGTCACATTGATAACTAAAATAGAGTTGGATGACTTAAATAGAAAAATTAAAATTTTGAGTGTCACATTGAAAACTAGTTAAAATTAGAAAGACTAATTGATAGTTTATCCTTTTATTTATTTATTTAATATATAAACTTGTCCAATTGTTGTAGTACTCAAATCAAATGTTAATAATAGGAGTCATGTTTCTTTATCATGATTTTTCCACGATAATTTTACTACACTGTTTATTATAACAAGATATGTTAACAAAGTAAATAATTCAACAGTTTGCGTTAAAACTGAAGTAAAATGACATTAAAACCAAATACTCTAAAACAAAACATTGTTGTTTCAACTTTAAACGTAAGTCGTAACAAAACTATTACAGAAAATAATCCTAATAATAGTCGGCTTACATAGCTTTTGTTTGGCAATGGTGACAGTTAGACATAACTGCCACATTTGAACTAGATGAAGGAGCATTGGAGGCAACAATTGAAGCAGATGTTGGGTACAATTGCAGTACTACTGGTGCTGTTGTGAGAGGCACTCTGGGACCATTTGGGCTTCTGGTTATTGCAGATGATTCACTCTCAGAGTTCACACCTGTCTATTTCTACATTTCTAAGGGCATTGATGGCACTTACAGTACATTTATCTGTTCTGATGAAATGAGGTTTGCTTCTTCTGATTGCCTAAAATGCTGTTATTTATTTATTTATTTATTTATTTTATTTTTTTCAAAATATTCGCATGATGGCAGAAATTGGATAGCTAATGTTTTTGTAACAAATTTTTTGCTTTTTTAAGATGAAACATTTCATTAACATTCGTAATTCATAAAATTTCTCATTCTTAGACTGTTACAATTATTATTATTGAAAAATTATATGACTTAGAATATTATTAAATGATTAGGATTAAGCTAACAAGAGAAATATTTAATTAATCTGAGTTTATGTTATTTTTGTGCAGGTCATCCAAGGCTTATTATGATCTTGATGAAAAGGTTTATGGGGGCATGGTCCCTGTGCTGGAGGGAGAAAAATTAACTATGAGAATATTGGTATGTGAGAATAATATATCATTGTTTCCCTTTGCTTCAAAATTATTTTTATTTATTTGTATCCCATTAATTTATTATCTGTTAATTTGGGTAAAATGGAGTACTATCAAGAGAATATCTCAGGCTAAAATCTGGAGGTAAGTTTAAGTTTTATTCAAGAGGTTTTAAATTCGAGTATAGATGTCGTATTTTACCTGATATGTAAAGAAAATGGATAGTCGTATTATATACCCTGAGTTTGCGCTTTAGAGGTGAGTCCAAAGGATTCTTTGCCTAGTATGGTTCTCGATTAAAAAAGAAATAAAAATCAAAACTTGTATGTCTTTATATTGTATGGATTGGCTATAGTATGGGTATTGAGTCTATGGTTTATATACCTTTGGGCCCTATTTGTTTACTAGATATAAAGGTTGGATATGAGTGTGGAACCGAATATAATATGAGATGGGTCTCACATGTTTTTTTATCTCCCTATATCCTGTGTTTGGTTGTTTCGGAAATAGGGAGTCCGGATAATATATGATGCAAAATGGAATATGCAATATCACCCCATGGTATTGTATATCCCTCACCGTCGAATATAGCTCATTTTTTATCCAAAGGTAAAAAATAATTACCTTATATCCTATATTAATTAAATATAGTATAAGTGTCTCCACAGTATATATAGTCCATCTCATATCTTATAACATATTACAGCAATGCTTCCGACCCCCAGTGGCACCCCCAGTGACGTGTCAGCTTCTCATTGGCTGGAAAAAAAAAAAAATTGGGCCAATCACAGCCGACTCCCAGCATCCCCACTAGGGGTCCGAAGCATTTTCCAACATATTATATCTCGTCATTATCCTCAAGTATTGCATATTCTCCTTATACTCTTATATTCAATCCAGACAACTGAACGGGCCTAAGACTTAACTAAAAAAACTAATAGATTAGTTAACAATAAGCCAACAAAAAAAGAATGTTAAAAAAAGTTAGTTCATTTTGTATATTTTTAATCTTTTGACTTTTTAAATAATGTTTTAGAGTTGTTAAAGTAGTTTTTTTTTGGGGGTTAAATTTTATAAATTGGGTAAGCCCAGATGACTCTAAGTCGTTGTTTTTAGCAAAATGAAAATTTTAACTAATAAACTGAGTTTTAAAATGTTGTCACAGGAAAATTCTAGATTAATTTAGCTAATGTCGAAGAAAATGGATACGAAGAATATTCATATTTCTATGAATTTTGGGTAAAATACAAATATTTTTTGAGATTTACTTAAAATACGAATTGTCTTCTGTGGTTCTAGAAATTACATCACGTCCCTTAAAGTTTATAATTTCATAACAAATGACCCATTTTATTAATAAAATATCAACTCAATTAACAATTTTAATGATATTAGAAATTTATTTTAAGTAATAATTCAGAAAAAATTATCATTGAATAGAAAAGCAGTTAGTTTTTTATTTTTCAGTTAATTCTGTTAAATAAATTTTTTTGATAATGGGGTATTTGTAATTTCCAAATCACATGAGGCAATCCGTATTTTTAAACAAATCTCAAGAAGTATATTTATCATTTGTTCTTAATTTTTTAGGACAAAATAGTGTTTACAAGGTACCAAGTAGCATTTCATGATTTATGCAGATTTACATGTTAAAGTTGAACTACTGAATATGTTTTCCAGCTAAATGTCCAAGTATATGTCGAAAAGACATTCAATGTCATTAATCAATTGTGAAGTATCTGACACAATTATTTCATAAATTTGAACTTGTAGAACTTATTTTCTAATGAATTTTCTTCCAAACAAATGCATTCCATTTTTTGGCTCAATTCATGAAACTATGGTTTAAAAAACACAATTCAGGTTGATCATTCGGTTGTTGAGAGTTTTGCACAAGGAGGGAGAACAGTCATCTCATCGCGGGTTTATCCAACGACTGCAATCTATGGAGCAGCGCGATTATTCTTGTTTAACAATGCCACCGGAGTCAACGTGACAGCATCACTCAAGGTATGGCGTTTGGATTCAGCTTATATTCACGATTTCCCTTTTGATCAGATGTAGTGTACTTCTAGTCAATCCATCTGACTACGTTAAGTTTCCCACTTCCTTGTTTGGTTGCCTGGAAAATTTGCACCAACCAAACGTTGTAATGTATTATCTCATATTTTTTTTTGGAGGACTGCTGGTCCATTATAATGTATTATCTCATATCTTTTTTGGAGAACTACTAGTTCATTTTTTTGGCATGTGCCAACTGCAATATCTATTGTACTAAACAATAAATTTCGATACATTGGGAATTTCAATTTCAGTTAATTCAATTCATTTGTTGTCTTGATGACTTTGTAATTCATTACATTAACCTTGGTCATATAACGTGGATTATTAACATGGATTTGTTCATATTCATTAAAATGATCATCTAAATTTTAGATGGTAAGTCGGATCACATTGTGCAGTAAGTGTCAAATGTGTTAACAGAAATAAACAGAAAATTGAAATTGCTACAAAATTAAAATTTCAGGGTTTTAATTGAAAAAATTTTGAAAAAAATTTGTTTGTAATTTTTCTGAATTATTTTTTCTCTCTCATCTTTTTCTCAAGGTGGAGTGATTAAAATTCCCCCAACTAAATATTCTTCTGTCCAAAAATAAATGAACAAAGAAATTAGGGGCACTAGTCTTCATGGAATGGAGTCCAATCGTAGAGGAGGCCCACTAGAAAGAAGAAGATATGTGCCCTCTAAAATGATGACTTGGATACCCATAAAATTAAAGGACCAGCCCATTAAGATGGATTCTCTTTTTGGGGCTAAGGCCTCCCAATTCAAGACAGACTTGTAGCACAATTTTGATGATCAACCTGTTACCAACTCAACAACTTTTCATTAAAGGTAATAATAGTAATTAATACATGCTCTCATTATTCTTCTTGTTATAAAGGTAACAATTCATCAATTAATCAATATAATCACCCTAAATAATTTATATATTTTTGTCAAATTTCTAGAGAGTTGGGGAGGCCCATTAAAGCGACGAGGCATGGGCTTTCAGTTCCACGTTATGTAACATAATCTTGGTTAGGGTGCACAATTAAACCAAGATATCAAACCGAACTAAACCTATTTTTTATGGATTGGATTGGTTCAACTGTAGGACTATTTCGATTTGGTTTTTGGTTTACAAATTCCAAAAGTAGCAACCTTGGTTCGATTTTCAGGTTGGACTATAGGTAGTATTTTGTGTGTTGTATAAATATTTTTGATGTATCTCTCAGTGTAATTTTAGCATTTAACAATGTATTAAAGTGTAAAAATAATAATAAATAAAAAAAAAGAAAAGTCATTAGCACACAATAACGTTGTTGACTTTTTGGTTTTGTGGTTGAGTTTTGTAAAATGGGATGTTGTAAGCAGTGAATATGAGAGTCATAATCTTGAAGAAGCAATTTCACTTCACTTCATTGTCATGGATAAATATAGGGGAAATACCATTTTAATGGAAGTTTGAGAAAATATTTACATTAAAAATCAAACCTGTAAAATTTTCTATGAAATTGATATTATTTTTGGGTTAAATTCATTTTACCCTTCTGATTTGGGCCTGGAAGACTTTATCCTCCATGATTCAAATATAGCCAAAAAGACTCCATATGCTTTGGACTGAAGTGACACAGTTAGGTTTTTCATCCAAACTAACGAAAGGTGTATTACACTCTATTTTTTAGAGCAAGTTTGGTTTTATGAAAAATAAAGTGAAATTATACAACAAAAAGATAAATTTACCCCCATTTTCTCGAAACCTAAAATTAAATTAATATATTATTTAAAATAAAACGAATTAAAATATTATTAAGGACTGATCTACAATATAAAATATAATTAAGAATTTATTTAAAATATAATTAAATAAAAATATAAAATAAATAATAATTAAGAATTGATTTAAAAGAATTAAATTAAAATTAGATTAACTTGTTAGAAATTACAATAAAACATTAAGAATTTAGAATTAATTGTGAGATAAAATATAATTAAATTAAAAATGGATTAAAAATTTAGGAATTACAATAAATAATTAAACATTTAAGATTAATTGTGATCTAAAATATAGTTAAATTAAAAATAGAATAAAAAGTTAATAACTATAATAAATAATTAAAAATTTATAATTATTGTGATTTAATTGAATTAATGTTAGATATTACAAATTATGTGTGAAAAATATAGAAATCCCCTAGATGTTGATTTGTGATTATGTATCAATTTTAAGCAGTGTATAACAATCCCAATCAAACAATCAAAACAAATCGACACAACGATTTTACGTGGAAAAACCATAATTGGACACCTCCAATTGTGATAAAAAACCACGGACAACAGCCACAAAAAATTTCACTAAGAAGATATAAATGAATTACACAGGTATACTCTCAATTACCTAGCGAATCCACGCCCGAATTGAACTAACCTCTATGTGTCTCTTCCAACCCCGTCATCACCTCGGAATTGTCTTGACGATGAGTCACTCCGGAATCCACCAAAGCTTCAGGCTCAAATTCTTCAGAATCCACCGAAGAACAACTCTCTTTTTTGTGTAGAACAAACAAATAATCCTTTGATGTATCCTCTTTAAACCATGAGTTGAATAATCAATCAAAACATCAAAGAAAATTAGCAAAATATCCCCAGATATAAACCTTAGAATCCAAAAAGAAGATCTAGAGGAGTTAAACAAGTTTTGGGAGAAACCAACTACTTATAGAAATCCAAAGTAATCCTAGTTTTGGAAGAAAACCAATTCCTTATAGAAATCCGGATTTTGAAGCTCGCTCGAGCGAAACTTCTTTCGCTCTTTGCTCGAGCGAGAACCTTAACTCGTGTGATTTCCACTAGTGCCTTCGCTCGAGCCACGAACCCTTCACTCGAGCGACCAATGAGCTCTTTCAAGTTTTTGTATAGACGCAATCCTTCGCTCGAGCGAGGACTTCTTCGCTCGAGCGAGCAAGGGCGGACAGCCAACTTTGAATGCAATTTTGCATTTTGCTTCGGGCGCGAGCTGACCGGGCAGCTCGACCCCCGTCATAATCAGCGAAGTGGCAATCTTAAAAGTATTAACATCACAAACTTCTCTGCAAGGCACAATTCGGGTTGAATTCGCATCTAACAACTCATATCCTCACTGAAATAAGAATGTGAAAACAAATACAACTGAAAAGAGTTTTGTCAAACGGGATTGCCAAGAATAAAAACCTAACAATCTCCCCCTTCGGCAATGCCGTGACAAAACACACCTAACAAATAAAATCCTAATCACCATAACCCATTACAGCTAACAAAAACAAACTTCTTTCTCAAGGTCATGATCTGCAAAACAGCAATTAGTGCCGTAAGAGTATATAAAAAAGCAATAGACATATGACACGATTATCTTCAAACATGAGGTAGAAAACATAAATAGATGAAAACTAAGACTCATGAAAAACAACACTCAAACAACAAAAGTAAGATCACAAACCACCCAAGAAATGATATGACGATGTAAATATTAAAAACATGCAAGAAGGAAATAATTAGCAAACAGTACATAGCAACATGCAAAACAACTATAGCCAATCTCCCTTTCACTCAAAGCAACCACAAACACTGTACAAAAAACAATGAACCAGAAGAAAGACAAAAAATAATATGGTGGAGCAAGCAAGGAATTTCAGATTTGTACCTTAAAACACACAAGATTATCCAAGAAGCACAATTACTGGTAAACACAATGTGCACAGTCTGTAGAAGATTCCTCATGAAAGAAAGTGATGCATTATGTGAAAAACATAAATCCCATGAGAAAGGTGTATGTGTGACTCTTGGAGTTTGACAAACACTAGATTCAATCGTAATAGTGATCTGAAAGTTGGACCTTCGACAAGAGAATCTAAGCACAACAAAGGAAAGTCAAACCACTAGGAATCAAGGGGTATTTGGTGAGTAAAGGCGGAGGTGTAGACACCCCATTTTGACCGACCTTAAGGCTCAGATGTCACTGATTGAGCGTTCGGTGATGATGCATATTGTGCTCGTTCTGAGGTTTCAGAGTCTCGGCTGCGAGTCTTGCCTCCGGACTTCGGGGCTCTTTTGTGCTTTGCCTCGGTTTGCGAACCAAGACCTGTTTTCTCTGTTTTCTTTTTTTGAAGGGAGGGAGAGGTCTCGTAGACCATCTCTCAGTGGCCGTAGGCTACGTTTCGTGGCCGTAGGCCATTTTTCCCGTTTGGAGACCAGTTTCCGATTTTCGGAGCCGTCTGCCGTGTGCCTCGATTCGGGACCGCTTAACTACCTCCGTTTGCTCCGGTTTTTGGCACACACCTTGTTTCCTCTCTTTTGAGGGACACTGTGGCTTGAGAGACCACCTTCGTGGTCGCACGCCACTTCCGGTACCTAACAGCCTGTTTTCGGGGCCCCAGACTGCGCGTTTTGGCTCCCGAACCTTCGTTTTGCATCCGTCTTGGTCTATTTTTGGTAGGGACCCTATTTTCATTGCTAGGGAGGTGGTAGTATGGTGGGAGGCCACCTTTTCCCCTTGGAAACCAGTTTTCTCTTTTTTTCTCTCATAAAGCCGATTTTTCTGACAGAAAGCTGATTTTTCTCACTTTTGAGCCACAATTTCTGGCTTTTCATACCACCATTGTGTTGTGCTCATCTGGGAGGCCACCAATATGGGTAGCCCGACCAGTAATTCATCTTGACCCTTTTGAACCTTGCTAAAAAGCTGGTTTTTCTCTTTCCTAGGTCACATTTTCTAGTTTTCCACCATACAGCTGTGTTGCACTCATCTAGGAGGCCACCTTTTTGGGGTGGCCGGCTAAAAATTCTTCTTGAACCTTTTGACCCCTGGTTGGCTTACCAGGGGGAGTGGCTGGCCGGCCACTTGAACTGGCCGGCCTGCTTCTTGCTTTTTGCCCTCTCTGAATGCATCACAACTGTGCCAGCTGTGAGGTAATTAGACCATCCTCCATACACGTGTATGAAGGATATGTGAAGCCCTTTTGAGATATTTTAGAGCCTCTCCTCTATAAAGGTGAGGCTGATCTTCTATGGCAAGGGTTGAACAACTTTGAAGGCTTACAACTTTCTCTCTCTCTCTCTCTCTCTCTCTCTCTCTCTCTCTATATATATCTCTACACTTGAGCTTCCAAACCCTAGTTTTCTTGGACCATTTGCACTACAACCCTTAGCACCACACCTCCTCCATCCATTCCAGCACTTTGGGACTGATTTGAAAGGGTTTAAGGTTCACCAACTTGGTCCAAAAGCTCCAGCTTTGCTGCTCTT